GATGGCATTGAATATATAAAGTAGTACAAGTGAAATGTCATTTTTATTATATTGGCCCTGCCTAATTTTGAAAACTTAATTTTTCTGTGATTATTTATATCTTATTTGTTTTTTATATAAAACTTTGTATAATTGTGTTTACATATTTCCTAGGGGTTTTTTTGCCATGTGCATTTCTAGGTAATTTATATACTGTCTAGAATTATTTAAAATTGGGTATTTTTTTTTTTTACTATCTCTTATATAGCACTGTTTCTGATATATAGGACTGCTGATGATTTAGGTAAATTTACTTAATACACAGTTACTTTGCTAAAATTAATTGTTTCAACTATTTTTTTAGTTTTCTTTTGAATTTTTCAAGAATATCATCATATTATTTGCATAGAGAGATAATTTTATCACATACATTCCCTGTTCTGATTCCTTCAATTTGTCTTTCTTCTCTACTTACTATTGCTAGGATTTCCAATACTATATTGAATAATATTGGTGACAGTGGGCATCCATGTTCTCTACCTGATCTTGAAGGCATGCCTTCTGGCTTAACCCCATTACAAATAATGCTTGCGGATCATTTTAGATAAATGCTTTTTTTAAAAAACCAATTTAAAGAAAAATTCATTTAAACCAATAGTTTCAAGGTTTTTTTTAAATAGAAATGAGTGTGAACTTTATCAAAAGCTTTTTCTGCATCTATTGCTATAATCATATGATTTTTAAAAAATTTGTTATAGGTGCAGCTAGGTGGCACAGTGGATAGAACACTGGCCCTAGAGTCAGGAGGGCCTGAGTTCAAATCTGGCCTCAGACATCTAACACTCACTAGCTGTGTGATTCTGGGCAAGTCACTTAACCCCAATTCATCCACCAAAAAAATACATATATTATTGATATCAATCATGTTAATAATTTTCTTTATGTTAAATCATCCCTGCATTCCTGGTATAAATCCCACTTGATCATAGTGTATAATATTTCTGTTTTTTACATTTTACCATTTTTACATATATAAAGTCCTTCCTAACAAACAAGTGACAAGGCTGCATGTGTGGATACACTGAGAGCTGCACACAGGCAGCCCAAGCCATAGGGTCATCTTCTCATTGGAAGCAGCAGTGGGATTTGGCAGTCCTCTGATGTCTGAACAGTGTTTTAAGGATCTAACTTCTCACCTCCTGGTGTGAAGTAGGCACCAGAAAAGGTGCCCTAAAAATTGTCTGCTTCCCCAACCCTGGCCCATTTACTGTGGCAGGTAGAGATCCTGCCCTATTGAACATACACACACAAAAAAGAGGCAAAAACTTCTGCAAAGATGATTGTACTTCCCATCAGTACATAGACTATCTGCACACTTATGGACCACAAAATCCAGCAGACCTAAAAGATGAACAGCTCCTATTGTGAGAAAACTCGGTAAGGATCATGTCCACATAGCAGCCCTGAGTGAGATAAGGCTGGCAAAGAAAGGTCAGCTTACCGAAGTCAGAGCTGTCTACATGTTTTTTGGAGTGGCTTCAGTGAAGGACAGTGCCATGAAATTGGTGTAGGTTTTGTAATCAGAACTAATCTAGTCAACAAGCTTGTATGCCTCCCCAAAGGAGTGAGCTAAAGGCTCATGACAATGCAATTGCCACTTGCTGGAAAACACCATGTGACCATCATCGGTGAATATGTTCTCACCATGATAAACCCTGATGAGGTCAACGAAAAAATTTTGGAAGACCTGGAGATTCTTCTCATCAATGTACCAAAAGAGGACAAGGTTGTGAATCTGGGTTACTTTAATGCTAGAGTAGGCACAGACTACCAGAAATGGCAGAGAGTCCTTGGGAGAAATGGAGTTAGGAACAGCAACAGCAGTGATCACTTACTCCTGACGACTTGTGCATCTAATGATCGATGCTGCATGTCAACTACTCAGTGCTGATGGAGCCCCATTGATTAGTAACAAAGACACGATCCTGGAGGGATGAGCTGAGCACTTCCATAGTGTTCCCTACAGCTTGTCATCAATCAATGCTGAAGCCAATGACCTTATGCGTCAGGTTGAAGTCAATGCCTCTCTAGCTGAAATTCCAACTGAAGAAGAGGTTTTGAATGCCATTAGGTTCCTGTCATGTGGCAAAGCATGTGGTACTGACTCTATTATTGCTGAGCATGCTTTTCATTGCTAACCTTGTATGCTACCTCTTAAAACAGTGCCTTTCACGTGGTAGGCCTTTCATAAATACTCACTGAATTGAATTAGTTAGTGTTTATCTTATTGGGCCCCTCCAGACTCTCTTCTGAAAGAAAATATCTGTGATATGGGAATATGAAATTTCCATATCATCTTGAAAGTTTTGGCTTTTTGGTTTATTACTTCTGAACTAAAAAAGTTTTTCAACATTTCCCCCCCATTGACCTTTCTTCTAATGACTCCCATATTGAAGTTGTTGAATATTAATGTTTGGGTGCAATACTGCTCTTCAGTAGGTGTTGATAACTCATGCCTATGTGAAACTTATCCTCACAATGCTGCCAATCAACAACTCATTTGTAACTTACACTGTTAGAAAGTCACCTTTGGGGGGGTGGAGGGTACTGAGCAGTTGGGATTTGTCCATGGTTTCACAGCTCCTGTATGCTAGAGGTAGGGCTTAAACACAGGACTTACTGAGTCCTAGGCCAGTGTCTTCTTCTATAGAAAAGGCTGCTAGTAAATTTTGATTTAATTTGGAAATCATATGAACTTCCTCAGATAATTTTTTTTACCTCGTCTTTCATAGTAGTTGTTACATCACAAGATATAATTATTTTCACCTTCATCTGGTTTTGCAAATAATTATCAAGTATTTCAATATTGTAGAAACAAAAATCCTTCAAAATAATATTTCCTGATGCCTTTTGTCACAAGGTAAAACTAACTCTACCAGCCCCTTCAGTTTAACCCCTCAAGGAGAACCTATGAGGCATCCTTCCACATAATTGTACCTTTCTTATGTCTTCTGGTTTTTTTATGCTAAGAATTTCAGAAATGATGATTCACTTCCTCTAGAAACATGTTCACTAGGTCACTGAATGAGGATATCAAATATAGAATACTAAGCATGTCATGTTCACAGATAACCTAAAAAAAAATTATTATTATTAATACACTTGACTGTCTTTTAAATAATAAAGTTAGCTTTTCCAAAGCATTAAAAAAAAGAACTTTGAAAGTCATTGCAAGACATAGGAGACACTGGCACATGATTACCTAGCATGGTGTGTGCTCATCAGAGAAGGTGCTGTGCTCTATGAGTAAAGCAGAACTGAAGTAGCTCTGAAGAAATGTGAGATGCACAAACTTGGAGCAGCTACCCCCAAATATTCACATTGACTATTTGTATGTGACCTGTGGCAAAGTGTTCCCAGATTGTATTGGTCTGATCACCCACAGTCAGACAAATTATACCTTAACTAATGTAGTGATGTCATTTTGGTCCTCTTTGAGAATGAAGGACAACAACCATTATGCGCCAGGCACAGTGCTAAGTGCTGTGCAAACATCATCTCATTGAGCCTCACTGCAACTTATGGAGGAAACAGAGCCAGGCAGAGGTAAAATGACTTGCTCAAATTCACTCATGTAGGAAATATCTGAGGTCAGATTTGACTTCAAGTCTTCCTCACTTGAGATCCAGTGATCTCTCCCTTTCACTCACTCCCTGCCTCTAGGTTCTGTGGGACATTATATTCAATTAGCAGATGAGGAAATATTAACCCAGAGAAGTCAATGCATTGGCCCGATGTCCAATTGTCCAGGTACTAAGTGGCTGATCTAACAGTGGAAACCACATCTTCTGAGTCCTAAACCAGGGCTCTCTGGATCACAATAGTGCCTTCTGTCACTGATGCTAGAATCTGACTTGACTCTCCATACCCAATCAGACCGTGTCATTTTCCTGCTCAGGGAATCCCTTTTGCCTCTAGAATTCATGTATACTTTTCTGTTCAGTATTTAAAGCCCTCTCTACCTAGTTCCAACCTACTTTTCAGGGCTTAACCTTTATTACAATCTTCCACAAAATTCATAGTCCTGTTTATAGGTCTTTCTGCTGGTCCAACACATCCCCTGTCTCCAAAGCTATGCACAGGCTATGCTCACCTCTACCTCTAGTAATGTAAAATTTCTTTCAGAATTCTTCTCAACCTGATACCTTCTACATGAAGCCTTCCCTCATCCCCTTCCCACAAATGACCTGCTATTGAGGACAACTCTGTTTATATTTAGATGTATTCATGCTCTCTCCCCATAGAATGTAAGCTCCTTGAGGACAAGCTCTTTTGCTTGCGTCTCTGCATTCCCAATCACTAGGACAGCACCTGGAACATTGAAGGTGCTTAAAAGAAGCTGATTGGTTGACTGATAGGATCAACTTGTGATTTTAGATGTTCACTGAGCCCAGCTCTCCCTCTGATATTTCCCCTCATCTTCCTTCATCTTCCTTGAACTCTTGTGGGAAGTTTTGGGAAGTTCTCATGGATTGGATTGTGGAGTCCCAAATCTGTGCTCTGATCACTCCTTATTGTTCTTTCCCTACAAAAATTTCTTCTGAGCTCTGTGTTCACCTTGTGTAGTGGTCACCCTTCCCTCCCAGCTCTGTAGCCTTTCCCTGCCTTTCCCCTGAGTTCAAGGCTATGTTTGAGAGAACTCAAAGCCTTTCCCTTTGTATCTGTCATTATTGCTGGGTGCCTGACTTCATTTCCAGTAGAATAGTTACTATTCCCCTAGAAGAGGTCACAGGGAAACTTACACATTTCTTTCATTTCTTTCAGACAGAGAGTCTAGACCTAACACTGAGGAAGCAACTCTACATTACAGTATTTCTGAGGAAGCAAGAAGCAAAAAGATTAATTTCTGTGACTGTTTATGGAGAAGTAGAAACATGTGAGGACTAGTTGTGGAGGCCTCAGGAAAACAGGATTAACCTTTGCAGCATTTTGCGGTCACTCAACTTAGTAAAATGCCACAAATGTACCCTGGAGAAAAACTTTCTACATATACCCAGGAGAGGAAAGCTTTTGGTAAAAGGTCAAGTCTTACTTTAAATCAGAGAATTCATGTTAGAGAACAACCTTATAAACATAATGAAATTGGGAAAGCATTTAGTCAGAGTTCAAAACTTACTGTACATCAGAGGACTAGTACTGGAGAAAAACCTTATAAATGCAATGACTGTGGGAAAGCATTCAGTGAGAGATCAAATCTTATTGAACATCAGATTATTCACACTGGAGAAAGACTTTATAAATGTGAAGAATGTGGGAAAGCTTTCAGTTGGAGGTTAACACTTAGCATGCATCAGAGGACTCATACTGGGGAGAAACCTTATAAATGTGATGAATGTGGAAAAAGATTCAATCAGAGTTCAAATCTTATTGCACATCAGATAACTCACATGGAGAGAAACCTTACAAATGTGAAATGTGTGGGAAAGCCTTCAGTACGAGGTCAACACTTACCGTGCATCAGAGGACTTATACTGGGGAGAAACCTTATCAATGTGATGAATGTGGGAAAGCCTTCAGTGACAGTTCAAATCTTCTTGTATATAGAATTCATACTGGGGAGAGACCTTATAAGTGCAATGACTGTGGGAAAACCTTCGTTATAAGCTCAAGACTTATTTTACATCATGTTATTCACACTGGAGGCAATCCATATAAATGTGATAAACGTGGAAAAAGATTCAATCAGCCTTCAAATCTTATTGCACATAAGATTACTCACACTGGAGAGAAACTTTATAAATGTGAAGAATGTGGGAAAGCCTTCAGTCGGAGGTCAACATTTACTGTACATCAGAGGACTCATACTGGAGAGAAACCTTATAAATGTGAAGAATGTGGGAAAGCCTTCAGTCAGAGGTCAACACTTACTGTGCATCAGAGGACTCATACTGGGCAGAAACCTTATAAATGTGATGAATGTGGAAAAAGATTCAATCAGAGTTCAAATCTTATTGCACATCAGATAACTCACATGGAGAGAAACCTTACAAATGTGAAGTGTGTGGGAAAGCCTTCAGTACGAAGTCAACACTTACCATGCATCAGAGGACTTATACTGGGGAGAAACCTTATAAATGTGATGAATGTGGGAAAGCCTTCAGTGACAGTTCAAATCTTCTTGTACATAGGAGAATTCATACTGGGGAGAGACCTTATAAGTGCAATGACTGTGGGAAAACCTTCATTATAAGCTCAAGACTTATTTTACATCAGACGATTCATATGGATGAGAGGCCTTACAAGTGTGATGAATGTGGGATAGCCTTCAGTCAGAGTTCAAAACTCACTGCACATCAGGTTATTCACACTAGAGGGAAACCTTATAAATGTGATAAGGATGGGAAAGCCCTCAGTCAGAGTTCAGACTTCCACATACATCAGAATGTTCATACTTTTAAGAAACCTAATAAATGTATTGTTTATGAGAAAGCATTCAATCAGAATTCAAAACTAGTTACACATCAGAGAATTCATAGTGGTGAAAATTTTGATAAATTTAGTGGCTAAAGAAAGGCCTACAGCAATACTTCAAAATTTATCTTCTCTCAGAATGTTAATACTGGAGAGAGGCCATGCAATTGTGAGGAATGTGGAAAAGGCTTCTGTAAGTATCCAGTATATGCAATGATATGTTGATCATTATAGAAATAGGACTAAATGAGTGTCATACATACATACATACATACATACATATATATATATATATATATACATATATATATATGTATATATATATATATATATATATATATATATATATAATTCATGAGAGAAAAATTTAGATGAAAATACAAGCCTTTTTCAACATCAGAAAATTCATATAGGGGAGAAAAACTTAGCTGCATATACAGACATGCACATATGGTTTAAATTGATTTTCACTAAGTGTGTTTCTTGTAAGCAACAGAATAATGAACTCCATTTCTTATCTCATTTGGTAACTCATTTTAGATTTAATATAATATTTTAAACCATTCACACTTATTGTTTTCATGACTATATTTGATTTTTCTGTTATTCATTGCTAATTGTATATAGAATAGATATTTATCTGCACCTTGATATATTTTAAATTTAAAACTGGGTAGTGTTTACCAGTGTCGATGTTGCCTTATCCAAATGCTTGCATTGTCATTCTGTCCTATGACAGCATATGTTTTTATGGAATTGTTCCTTTTTTGTTAAACTAGAGTTATGGTTATTATTTGCTACATTGATTTTTAGACATCAAAATCAGGATCTTTTGTTTTGGAAACATTCTTATTTTAATGAGAAAATTCAAACCATTACTATCTATTTTAGAAAATAAAAATTCAATTTACTTTCTAAAATTTTCTTCTTGTTGCTCTTAATAATTACATCATTCTTCTACAGAATAGCTATATAACAGGGAAGAGAAAGAGACTCGTTTAAGTAGCCAGAACAATGGCATGCTGCCAGAAAGGCTAAGGCCTCTATTTGTGTGCACACAGTGTCAGAAGAAGTCCATAAACACATTGGGTGGACTTTTTGTGGAGGGCTGAGAAGGAAGGGATGAGTTTGGATCTGCAGCATTCTGAGTAATTAAGGATTGATGGTGGTTAAAGAGGACAAGGTGTTCAAGGAAAGTACACATTAAATAACAATGGAGGCAACACTGTTTTGAGTGATACTGTGGTCTAGTGTGTAACCATCCCCATGGGAGGCTAAGGCATAGCTGACATGCATTGAACCTGTTGACTTGGATGTCAGGAAGCTAAAGCAATGGGAGGACAGCCTGTGGGAGGTGCAGCACCTTGTTTATTGCTGTCCCCTAGAGTGAGAGGAGGGATTGAGTTGGAGAAGAAGATGGTAATTTGGGCACTGGAATACAAGGGAGAAGAGAGAATCGCTCTCACTTGTTTTTATTTCATAGAACATTATAATGCTCACCATTTGTTTTGTAAGTGACTTTAGTGGTGCCCTTTGTCCCCACATGAAGCACCAGTTGTGTCTGGGAGATAGTTTTGTCAGAAATTCTCCTAATATTCTCTGCCATGGCTGCTGAGTGGATACATAAAGATGAAGAACCACTCAGTTGTTTATTTTAAGTGACTAGCAGAACACCAGTATTCCGTAGGTATTGTCCTGCTCACATGCAGCCAAATGAAACTTCAGGAAAGAATGGAACCAGGCTGAAAGGGTCCTCCAGTTTGGGTTGCATAAACTCAGCTGGGCCCTCACTGCAGCAAGGCAGTACTTTCATAGCTTCCCAATCCTTTCACTATAAATCCTACTACACTATTTGTGCCAAACATTCTCATTTCTCCTCAAATATTCCATGATAACCTAAGTATGCCCCTATCAGCTAAGAACATTGCTTCATACTCCATCAAAAAAAAATTTCTTAAGTCTCATCTTTTCCCCATCCTCCTGATCTCACAGTTCTCAGCTGTTTTCCCTGACCATTTCTTTCAGAAACCCCATCTCAAAAGAAGTGGCTCTTCTCCTTTCCAAAACCAATTGTGAGAAATGATTCATCCTACTATATTCCAATGAGTACTAATCAGTTTGATATTTTACACAAATCATATAGGGATAATTAGATAACAGAGGTCTTATAGCAGGCCTCAAACTTTAATTCCATGTTCACCACTTGTTTACCAGTTATGAAGCTCACTTGTACAACCACAAGATGCTGACAAAGATATCTTCATCCTGCTTTGCTCAAGTTCCATGACCAAACCCAGCATGTGTGGGAGAGTTATGCATAATATGGAAAGTCCCCTAATTGGTTTCTGTACCTCTGGAATGAGATGTCCCGGTGAAGACTTCTCAGTATAACTAAAGTTTGGGATAAGACTATCCTAAATCTGGTAATAAGTTCAGGAGGTAGGATTGGGTTAAGTATAGATTTCTGTAAGTTCTTTTTCTTTTTCTAGTGCCATATCAGTAGTTAAAGTCTGAAACATCCCTTCTGAATTTTGTAAGGTATATTTCTGTCATGGTGACCTCGCTAACGTCTAGCTTGACTGCACATTTTTAATTGCTTCTTTGACATTATCTCAGCAAACTAAGAAATATAGAGATGTATACTATCTCCTTTGTTCTATGGTAAAGTTTCAAGTAATGGACAGTTGGTTGGAGGGGGGACTTTACCCATTAGGGCTATTTAAATCTGGTTCTTTGTTTCTGTGTCTGTCTCCCCTCATCAGAACATACTGGTGGAGGGACACCTAAATCTCGAGATTTGAAATAATAAATTAATTTTCTGTTTCTCCTTGGCTACCTCTGTGTTTTGTTTTTTAATTTGAGTGGCATCCCACATACTCTGGACCATCCTCTCTTGTCCAACATGAGCAAGTGAACCTCTTATGACCATTTGGTCAACAGAGATGTATTAAGCATTAAGATTTTCGGGGTGTAAGGGGCAGCTAGGTGGGTCAGTGGATAGAGCACCAGCCCTGAAGTCAGGAGGATCTGAGTTCAAATCCTGCCTCAGACCAAACACTTGACACTTACTAGCTGTGTGACCCTGGGCAAGTCTCTTGACCCCAATTGCCTTTAAAAAAAAAAGAGAGAGAAGAAGAGATTATGCCAAGAACCATTTAGGACAGGGCTTATTGCCATGTGCCTCCTCTCAGGGCACCATTTCCCATTCTTTTTCCTTGTGCTCAGGATACTACTTACCTTTCTCCCACCTCAGGAAAATAGGGATACTTACACTTTTATTTCTCTTTCAGGCTTGCACTTAAGGACCAAGGAGTCCAAAAGGCCAAGAGAAGATTCATCCCTGGAGGGGATGGTCATAGAGGAAGTGGGAATGGAGGCTCTTTGCTACTCTAACATGGGAGATGCCAGAGAACATGAGAGCCAGAGCCACATGCAGGAGGAAAACCAGGAGAGATATTTAAGGGAAGTGATTAATCTTCAAACAATTCCTACTGCAAAAAAAGCCTCTGAAATGTACTGAATGTGGGAAAGACTTTAGTTACCCCTCACATCTTACTATACACCAGAGAGTTCACACTGGAGAGAAACCTTTCCCTTGCAATGACTGTGGGAAATCCTTCAATCACAAATCAAACCTCAGAGCACAGCTGAGGATTCACACTGGAGAGAAACCCTTTGAATGTAAGGAATGTGGAAAAGCCTTCAGCCAGAGGTCATATTTGAGCTTACATCAAAGGATTCATACTGGAGAGAAGCCATTTCAATGTGATGTATGTGAGAAAGCCTTCTGTAAGCCCACGTGCCTTATTAACCATCAAATGGGTCATACTGGAGAGAAGCCTTACCTGTGTAATCAGTGTGGGAAAGCATTCATTTCTAGTTCAGATCTTCTTAAACACCAGAGGATTCACACTGGAGAGAAACCTTATACATGTAATGAATGTGGAAGAGCCTTTAATAAGAGCTCAAGCCTTGTAAAACACCAGAGGATTCACACTGGAGAGAAGCCTTAGACATGTAATGAAGGTGGACAGCCTTCAGGCAAAGCTCAAAGACCCTGCACATTAGAGTGTTCACACTAACAAATTTTCTGAAGGTAATTAATGTGGAGAAGCCTTCAATCACAACTCAGCCCTTACTGCTTATTAGAGGTTTCATAATAGCAAAGCAGAATGAATAAAGATAAATATGGGGAAGACTTCACTCAGAGCTCAAACATTTGTCTCCACCAAAGTCAATGGAAGAATGATTACAAAACAATTAGAAGAGAAAGGTGCAAAGTTACAAAGAACCAATATGGCACCCAAAGGAGAGATGAAGGAACAGGCCAATCCTTGGCAGAGGACCAGGCCCAAATGTGTGCAAAGTTGCTTATGTTTTCAGATGTTTTCCTATGTATTGATTGGTTTTACCTTTTCTCTTCCTCTTTTTTTTTAATATTCAGTGCTTTATGGGATAGCTCTTTGAAGGTAGCAGGGATACAAGGGAAATTTAAACAATGTGACAACAAAAGCTGTCTAAATGTTTTCCATAACTAGACATGTTTACAATGGGTTTTGTTTTTCTTGCCTTCTGAATGGATTCGTGGGAGAGAGAGAGTGAAGGGGAGAATTTGGAACTGAAAATAAAATATAACTGACTTCAGAGTTAGAAGCAAAACAGAAAATTAAAGATTCAGTAAACATGAGAAAACCTATAACAACTCAAACCTTGTTCAATATCAGAGGGTTTATATTGGAATGAATACACAGAAAAATAAAAAATGTCATAAATCCCTTATACTAACTTTATTAAACATCAAAGAAATTGTATTGAGGGGAAAAAAACCCCCAAAATCTAGCTTTATCTTTGCAACCTACCTGTGTTTCTTGGCATTTAAAAAATATTTTCTGTCAGGAACATAGTGAATCATGTTTCTATGTTCTTAGACTCTTGCTGTAATTCTTTGCATTTAATCAAGGGATACAGATTTATTAAATAATAAATTTATTTATGAATTAAATAAATTTATTATTTTGTCCCACCTCAAATAATAAATGTATTAAATAAATTTGATTTGTCTTCTGACATTTTAAAAATTATTGTCCCTTCCTCCT